ATCGTGTTCATCCCATAAGATATGGAGATAACTGCTTATGGCTCCAGTGGCAAAGAACAATGTCTAATAGACAGTGCCATAATGCACACCATTTTGAAAAGTAAAGAATATTTTTCTCAAATGACACTGATGAAAATTAATGTCAATACAATCTCTAGTGTTGCAAAGCTCATTGAAGGGTCTGGAATGACTTGTATAATTCTTTCTCAGGGGACAAATCTAATTATCAAAGATGCATTACATTATAGAAAATACCAAAGAATTTATTGAGCTTTAAAGATATACGTCAAAATGATTATCACATTGAAACCATGACAGAAAATCAAAAGGAATACTTATGTCTAACGACAGCCAAATCTGGCAATAAAATTCTCCGTGAAAAGATGCCATCGTATTCCTTGGGGATATATTATATTCATGTTAGTCCCATTGAAGTGAATGTTGTCTCTCATAGAAAATTAGATGATCAGAAAACATTCATTTTGTGGCATGATAGTTTGGATCATCCTGGCAGTGTAATGATGTACTCCCTCCATCTTATATCTTTCTTCTCACTTTCATTATTGAGATGTCCCACTTCTTTCTTTCCGTTTTCTAAAATAGAATTAGAATACACATAAAATTACTTTTTTAAACTTATTCTTTCTCTCTCTATCTCTGCCTCCCCCATTTTTATATGTGTTCCTTCTTTCATCACTCAACCCTATCCCCTCCCTCCTCCCCTTCATCATCTTTGTCATATATCCTTATCTACATTCATCTTCTTTCTAAATTTCTCCTTGTTCTGTGTCTGTTGTCCCCCTCCCCCCACCCTCCACCTCTTTCTTCTTCTCCAATTTTTTCTTTCTTGTTATTCGTCAGCCCCACTAGCCCTCACCACTCTATTTTGCTTTCCCTAATTTTGTCTTTCTTCTTATTCTTCTTCAACCCCCGCTCCTTTTCTGTTTCTTTCTTCTTAGATCCGCCAACTTCAACACGATGATTGGGTGGCGACGAATCTGAAGAAAATGGCGGCGCCCAATGTGGAGGAAAATGGGTGGCGGTGTTGACTGAGTGGAAGTACTAGATTTATATTTGAGTAGGAGGGGCATAGGTGTCCATGAGTATACTGGACAGCTTCCGATCTGGATGAAAAGGGTAGCTTCAGATCTTGAAGTGAGGGGGAACTGCGTAAAAGGGAACAGATGGCGATGATTGTGGTGATTGGAGTAATTTATTTATTTGATGAAGGGCATTTTAGTGAAATCAAAAGAATTTTAACATTACATTAAAAATCGTGCCAAGTCAAACTGAGAGGTTTCAACTTAGAAGTAGGGAGTACAAAATAATTCAAAGTTCACTTGGACATCCACTGAAAAATATAAGGATTCCAAGACAAAGTGATTTTTCCATGTGTTGCCTACTTTCTTGGAAAAATGATTGTCAGGCAATCTCTAAATAAAATTAGAGTTGAATCTCCTACATTTTTAAAAAGAATTCAGAGAGATATTTGTGGGCCAATTACCCCACCATGTGGATCATTCCGTTATTTTATGGTGTTGATCGATGCATCAACACATTGCACATGTTAGTCTTTTGTCTAAAAGAAATTTTGCATTTGCAAAACAACTCCTTGCTCAAATCATACATTTGAGAGCTTAATTTCTAGATTATTCAATAAAGAAAATCTGACTTGATAATGTAGGAGACGTTACATCCCAATCATTTAAAGACTATTACATGCCTATTGGGATTTATATGGAGCATCCATTTGCTCATGTGCACACTCAAAATGGTCTTGTGGAGTCTTTAATCAAGCAATTACAATTAATTAATAAACCATTATTGATGAAATCCAGTTTACCTGCGTCTATTTGGGGACATGCTGTATTGCATGCTATAAAATTAATTCGGCTAAGGCCTACTACAAATCATATTTTTCCCCATTACAATTTGTAACTGGAAAGGAACCAAATATTACTCACATAAAAAAATTTGGGTGTGCCGTATGTGTACCAATTGCTCAACCACATCGTACAAAAATGGATCCTCAAAAAAGGCTGAGAATTTAAGTTGGCTATGATTCTCCCTCAATTATAAAATATCTTGAACTCATGACTGATAAATTATTCACAGCTCGGTTTGCTGACTGTCATTTTGATGAGACAGTATTCCCAGCCTTAGGGGGGAAAATGAGAAAAAAGGACCCATGTACGAAAGCGATTACATGGAATGCAACATGATTATCTTTTCTAAATTCAAGAACAAATGGATGCGAATAAGAAGAGCAAAAGATAATTCATTTACAAAATGTTACAAATCAATTACCTAACGCATTCATAGATTCAAAAAAAGTGACAAAGTCTGATACAGAAGATGAATTGCATTATTTAATTAGTTATTTATTAATAAGTAGTATTATATAGGTACTCATGATTAGGTTTTAGTATGGGCCCGGTCCATTAGTTTAATTAGGGTTTCTCATATCTCTATATATTATACTCTCGTATTATTATTATGGAATCAATAAAGAAATATCAAAACCCTAATCTCCTTCTCTATTCTCTTGGAGCCCGGAAACGCTCGAAGTTCTTCCCTATCCGATACATTATTCATATCAATTGGTGCTCTCGTTGCTTTGAACTCCAAAAAAACAAAAAAAAACAAGATCAGCTGCTGTTGTTTGTCACCGCTCAATTCCTTGGTCTGTCGCCACCTAGGCTTCCTCTGATCCAATTGTTGCTCATAGTTCTGCTCAAGCCATCAAATCTGCATCAGGGGATTGAATTTTCCGCATCGTTGCCGCTGGGCCACAAAATTTGCTATAGCTGCCTACCAAATTGCCTTGCCAAAGCTCTCCGCCGTTGTAACAATTCAAAGGAAACAAAGGGGTTTGCAAGAGTATTTTATTGTTCATTGCCAATTCTTTGTTTGGGCTAATCATTACAGAGTATTTTTTTGGGTGAAGAACTTTTATCTCAATTGCACCATCTATAAAAATTGATTCAAATCCATCACTGCGAGAGGTATTTTTTCTGGTGATATTTTTTGTGTGGTGTTTATTTGACAATGGATTCTATGCTGGAAAGAGTTTTTAGTTGCTAGAGAATGTTCTTTATGGATAAATTGAGCATGATGAAGGAGTGTGTATGATTTTTGATCATGTGTATGAGTTTATTATGAAGCTCAGGTCGATCCGAAATTTTGAAAGTCAAATTGATTATGCTGTGCTCGACGTAGAAATTTTTTGCTTGGTACAAGATTTGGTTCGTAGACCTCCAATTGTGCCAAGTCAAATTTCTTTTGAGTTACAAGTTTTCAAAGCACACATTATGGGTATTATACGGAAAGTGACAGGCGCTCCACATTCTCCAACAACGTTGCCCCCAAGATGTGACGGAACCAAACCCGTGCAGTGGTTAGCTGTGGTATGTGAGTATTTCCAGTTTTATGAAGTCCCTTTAGTTGATCGTTTGGACCGTGTGACATCAATGTTAGAGGGCTCTGCATTGGCTTGGTTTAATTGGCGTATGCGTGGCGGCTTAATTGATGGTTGGGGGATTTCGTTGAAAAGTTCAAGATTCGATTTCCATGATCCAGAAGATGAATTGCATTATTTAGTTAGTTATTTATTAATAAGTAGGGTTTCTCATATCTCTATATATTGTACTATCGTATTATTATTATGGAATCAATAAATAAATATCAAAACCCTAATCTCCTTCTCTATTCTCTTGGAGCCCGGAAACGCTCGAAGTTTTCCATCTTTCTCTACCTCATCTTCTTGGAGCTTGAAGAACGCTCGAAGTTCTTCTCTATCTGATACATTAATTATAATATTTTAATATTTAGTAGTTATTTATTATTATTATTATTTATTGATGGTTTAGGGTTTTAGTATGGGCCCGAGCCCATTAGGTCAATTAGGGTTTTCTACGTTTTTATATATTGTAACCTTTTGTTATTAGTATTCAATCTATAAATAATCAAGAATTATCTTATTCTATCGTCTCTCTTTTTTTAGAGCTCGGAAACGCTCGAAGTTTTCCTTCTCTCTTTGCCTCCCCTTTCTTGGAGCCTGAAGACGCTCGAATTTTTCCCTATCCGATACGATATTTGTATCAATTGGTGCTCTTGTTGAGAGAACCAAAAAAATATAATTAAAAAAATAGAAAAAATAGCCGCCGATCGGAGCAACACAGCCGCCTCAGACAACCGCACCAAATCAGAGAGGAAGAGCAGCTGCTCACGCCGCATCTAAGCCAAACCTGCACTTCCAAATCACTTGCAACCCCAATTATTTTGTCCAAATCTAAATTGGTGCTTTCAGATCTAAATTATTTGGTTTGAGCACAAAATAACCAAAAAACGTTTCGCCCCCTACCTAATTCACCGTCAATCTTTCAGATCAAGTTGCACCATTACCGTTCTGAATTTCCACTGCCGGCCCACCGCTGATCCAAATTTCATTCACTTGACCTCCACGAAAAGAAGTCAAAATTCCCTTAGTCCTGTGATCTCTTCGCGCCTGCAAACAAAAAGGGGATAGGCGACTCAAATTGATGGGCCGATTCAACCCCAACGGCCCAACCCGGCCATAACTTCGTGCTCCCCTATAGCTTTGAGCGAATCCATAAACAAATCAGTTGTTGGCTGGTCAAGAAATAAAGAAATTCAATTCTTTTGTCGCCACCACCAAAATTTCTGCAAAGGGAGACCAGATTTGCAGCCGTCGTAAGTATTGCAAATTGGCAACTTCTTGCCGCTTTGGGACTTTTGGCTTTTGCAAGGCCAAAGAAAAAAAATTAAAAGCCTTAAAGTAGCCCATCATGCAACAAGATTTTTCATTCCTAATGGAGGCCCGATTCAAGCGGTTAGATATTTTGATTGTGTGTACCCATACATTGGACAAACTTATTGATCTATTGGAAAATGTTCCTCATGGCAAAATTGAGCACGACAAAGGAGTGTGCACACTTTACGATTACATTGATGAAATTATAACGACTCTTCAGTCATTTCATCCTATTGAAGGTTAGTCAAATTATGGTTCTGATTTATATGCATTTGACATTGAAATCTCTTGCGTGATACATGATTTGGTTCGTGGTCCCTCAATTTTGCCAATTATGATTCCCTTGGAGTTACAAAATTTTAGAACAAACATGACGAATGCCATCCAAAACCTCATCAATGCCCTGGTTTCTCCACCAAATTTGGCTGTTGTGGTCACCATACAAAACACTAAGTCTCATGAAAAGGAATTAAGGGATGATTCAAGCGTCGAATCATATATTGGGGATGTTATGGACAGTAGGTCTGAACTCATGAATGAAGATGACGAGAGGTCGAATGTCGTTGAAAATAATAATGAGCTTGCCCTTCTAAAAGGTGCCATCAAGGTGGCAGATGCAGATAATAAGCATGCGGACTACCCCATTTCATTTGACGCCATTAAGTTGTTTGATAATGTTGATGCGATCAAGACAAAGCACCTAGTTTCACCGAGAGAACCTACACTGGGTATTGGCTCTATCTCACATGTCCCTCGGTTTGCTCCCAGATCCAAGATGGTTGAAGATTCAAAGAGTGGACTGCTCCATTGGTTTAGCATTATCTCTCCAGTCCAGAAGCACGAGTGAGAGCCTCCACCTTGAGGACAAGGTGGTTTTTAAGAGGGTGGGAATGATACGGATAGTTAATTATAATATTTTAATATTTAGTAGTTATTTATTATTATGATTTATTGATGGTTTAGGGTTTTAGTACGTTTTGTTATATTAGGGGTTTCTACGTTTTTATATATTGTAACCTTTCGTTATTAGTATTCAATCAATCAATAATCAAGAATTATCTTATTCTCTCGTCTCTCTTTTCTTGGAGCTCGGAAACGCTCGAAGTTTTCCTTCTCTCTTTGCCTCCCCTTTCTTGGAGCCCGAAGACGCTCGAAGTTCTTCCCTATCGGATACGATATTCGTATCAAAGTCACATATTCCTACTATGAATGCTCATGCCAGAATTGATATTCCTTTAAAGAAAAATAAAAGACAAGAAAACTTAAAAGACAAGAGACAACGTTTGAAATAAAAGACGTTCATTCTTCAAAAAAAGGAAATGAAAACTGAGCATGTTGATAAAAAAATAATATCAACGAACAAATTGTTTCAAATGAAGATTAAACAATCCTTGAAGATGTGAATAATTAAGATGAAGATATAAACATTGATAATTATGAAATATCAATAAATCATCGTTCTACGGGATCACAATGGAACAAAAAAATGTTCATGTAGATGATATATTTGCATATGTCATTGCTACAAACATCATGGATGAAAATGATGATATTGAGTCAACTTTAATTGATGAATGTCGACGTAGACATGATTGGCCAAAATGGAACGAAGCAATTCCGGCAGAATTGAAATCACTTGAAAAAAAGTGTTTTTGGGTGTGTGTGTGTCTTTTCTCCTCATTCTATAAGGGCCTATTGCCGTTACCTATAGTCTTTTTGCCGTTTGATTTAACGCCTCAGTGCCTCTCTCCGTTTCTTTTAATTCGCACGAAAAATGAAGGCTATTGGTCACTTCGCCGCCCACCGCCCCACGACAATGCCTTCTTAGCCGTTCACTTCACTGCCCCACTATCGACCACTAGCTTCATATATCTTCCCTGGGATGCATTTGCCTCTTCTATCATCTTCATCTACATCGGAATTGCTCAGCTTCCTTTGGCAAACGCTAGGTAAACCTCTCTATTCTTTTCCAGTTATTCCTGCACCATTTTCGGACAACATTTGTGCCCAGCCGAAAAAAAAATTTGTGCCCACCTAGGAATGAGCTTTTCACTTCCCTCTGTTTGCATCCGGGTTGTAGTACTCTGACTCTCCAAAGTGAAAGGGAGCTTACCTTTACTCATATTAGTAAGCTAAACAGGGTTAAAACCTACTACTCTATTTTCAATTATCCCATTTTCAAATTCTCTGCCTTTTCTAATTCAATTTCACACCTTTTGTGACCTCTTTTTCAATTAGGTTTACCGGCTGAAACTTCAATCCCTTTAAGAGGTTTTGATTTTTTCCAATTCTATCAGTTTACAAACTGAGTGATATTTTAAAAATTTACTTGATTTAAGAATCTTAATTTAGGTTTTAAAAAATTAAAAAATTAAAGCTTCTTTATTTCTATTTCCATGACTCTATTATTTTTAAAAGATCTGCTTCATTTTAGTATCAAAAGTTAGGTTAATCCATTTTTTAAAATTGAATTGTTTTTTTGTTTATACTTAAATTACTCTGATATTTACTGAGTCAAATTTGAAAACATTTACTTCATTTAAGAATCTGACTTTAATTTTAAAAAACATCTCAAATTAGAACTCTTTTTGTTTTTATTTCAATGGCTCTGTTAATTTTAAACAATATACTTCATTTTAGAATCTGAATTTAGGTTTAAAAGCAAATCTCTAAAATTTAAACTGTTTTTTCTTTCTATTTCAATTACTATGTTATTTACTCTATTTTTGAAAAAGTCATTTTTTTTCTTTTTTTACTATAAACAAGTCCTCTATGTGTATGTGAGTCATTTTTTTGGATTGTTCATTGGTGTCTGGTGTTTTTATTGTAGTTAGAACAATTTTTTATTGGTTAATTTTATATTTAAGTTCTTAATGCTTCATACAAGTGACCAAATACAGTTCATGTTCTTTGTTGATCATGTTCCATTTGCTTGGTAGGTTTACGCACTTTTATGCTATGGTACTCTTGACATTTTAGAATAAAAAGTATTCGTATTCTTATTGAATTTCAATTAAATTATCTATGTTGCGGTGTGTTTTGAATTGACATTATAAATCGAAGGTGATACTTATTATTTAGCGACTTAGTGTCACATATTTGTTCCTGGCTTTAGTGTTTTTTTGCCCTCTTCATAGGCTTTCAGACTTCAGGGTATGTTGTTGTTGCTAATGAAATAGTGATAATTATATTCTTAAAAAACTTTGAAATCTCTCTTATGAGATCGTAACTGTTAGTGTTAATGTAGAAACTTTGGGTATTTACGACTCCCATAATATACATTTCTTAGTTGGATATTTTAAACAAAAAAACATTGGGAAAAATTGCATTTTAGAATGAGGAAATAGTGTTCTTCATTGAATTATAGCTTTTGAATAATTTTGTAAGTCTGATTTCAACTCAAGTCTATTTTATTACTAAAAACAAGTTCTCTATGTGTATGACTTTTAGTTTTGGATTTGTTGGTTGGTGTTTGGTGTTTTTATTTTTCTAAAATTTGAATTAATCTTTATTTCTATTTCAACTACTCTTTTATTTACTGCATTTTAGAAAAAATCCCTACTTGTCCATTTTTTACCAATAGTCTACTACTGAAAATACTTTAAAAAGTTAAGCCAATAGCCTTTAAAAAAGTTAGCCAATAGTCTACTGCTGAAAATACTTAGGCATGAATATATTGCAAGGATCCTGGTTAGGTACTCTATAAATATACTTAGGCATAAATATATCCCATGAACACTCCAAAATATGGTTGGTGAGAGAATGCAGTGAAACAAAGGAGTGTAGAGAGATGAATGTGTAGGTTATTGCTTGTGCTCTTTCATACTCAATCCACACAGGTGAAAAATAAGGATTTGCGTTCTATATGACAGTGTAGACTATCATATAGAGGAATTTTGGTGGTGGATTTTTGAACATTTAATTTAAATCTTTGAACATGTACACACACTTTATTTTAGCTTATATTGTCATATAGGCTAAAAAACTGAATTTAACAGTATTACACTGTATTCTTCCTCACACTACCAAAAAACTCCACCAAAAAAACTTTATTTTAGCTTCAATTTGACAACGGAAGATATGGCGTTATATATTAACTTAATAACTTAAATCCATGTGTGGACTGTTTGAATGTGTTTGAACAATCCTGTGGAAGATATATGAGAGTATCAAAAAATAAAGTATTATTATGCCTAAAACGACATCTGGTGTTATCATCCGGCTTTAGATGTCTTTTGTAAATGTGAAGTTTAAAAAACTGAATTTAACAGTACTAGACTGTATTCTACCTCACACTGCCAAAAAAGTCTACCAAGAAAACTTTATTTTTGCTTCAATTTGACAACGGAAGATATGACGTTCTATATTAACTTCATAACTTAATTCCATGTGTGGACTGTTTGAATGTCTTTGAACAATCCCAGCGAAGATATATGAGGGTATCAAAAAATAAATTCTTATTATGCCTAAAAGAACATCTCGTCTTATCATCCGGCTTTAGATGTGTTTTGTAAATGGGAAGTTTAGAAAAAATGATTTAAGGTCAAACCATTAATCTGCGTTCAACTATACGTGGATTTGTAAAATAAAGAAAGTCTTTTATTCATTCCATTTTTGCTTCACCTCTTTTAAAAAGGGAATTCTGCTACTAACCACCTAACTTCTAAACAATGTACTTTCAATTTTATCCTTAGAACGATTAACTTCTTTTAGTTTTTAATTATTTATGCAGGTGACTCTTATACTGTTCGTGCTCTTTCTTGATCTCTTCAAGTTACAATTTAACTTGCTTGGTATGTTCACACACTTTAAAACTATGCTTGTATTAATTCTTGATTTTTTTTAAAAAAAAAGTGCTCTCTAATTAGTTCACCCTTCTTGGAATTTAGTCAAAGCCTTGATATATATACTCTCTTAAATTGGCGTTGTTAGAATGTTTTATATGCAATGTCTGCCCTCTAATTGCTTCACCATTCTTGATTCCTTCCATCCATTCACTGTCTTTATTGGTTAGGTATTCTTCATCTACTGTGTCCAAAGATATATGATACAATCACATGAAACTACAAAACTAAAAAATAAATTTTTATCAAAAAATTATTTCATTTCAAACCATTTATCTATGCTGAAGTATAAACTGATTTTAAAATTAATTAGTCTCTTTACTTTCCCCATGTTGATCTGCTCAACTTATTATTGGACTTCCTTCATATGATTACATGCATTTAAGAAATATTTATATTCTTTTAATGGAATGTTTTCTACCCTTCTTCAAAGGTATTTTAAGTTTACTATTTTAATAACAATCACATGAAAGTACAAAACTAAAAAATAAATTTTTATCAAAAAATTATTTCATTTCAAACCATTTATCTATGCTGAAATGTAAACTGATTTTAAAATTAATCAGACTCTTTACTTTCCCCATGTTGATCTGCTCAACTTATTATTGGACTTCCTTCATATGATTACATGCGTTTAAGAAATATTTATTTTTTTCAATGGAATGTTTTTAACCCTTCTTCAAAGGTATTTTAACTTTACTACTTTAATTTCCAAACATGCAACCCTTTGATTAGTCATAGGTTTACTTGTAACTCCTCAAAGATTCAATGGAAACTGGAACGTCATCAACTCAGCCAACATTTGATAGAGATCGGTGCGAACAAAGAAACTTTAGGCACCGTCTTAGATATCGTGAATTACATGACAGTGAAAAAAACGTTGCTTCAAATATTACTAGATGATCCAACGTTTGTGTCAGTTCTTCCGCTCAAGGTGTAGCATTTAACTCATTTATCGTTTTTAATTTAATTATACCTTTCTTTGCCTTCTACCAAATTTCCTAACTTCTTCATGTTTCCCCCAACTCTACCCTCCAATTGTCATTGCCAAACTACAACGCAAATTTGTCTTCACAAAAAGAGGACAACAAACGGCAAGTGACTACATAATCATCGACCATGAGTACGTTCTAACATTACTTCTATTTTTTGGCCTTTACTATTTTCTTATTTAAAATTAGCATACAATATTATGTATCACCTAAGCAAAATAGTTGTTGTTTGTTTTTTTAAAAAAATTTGCCTAAATGCAGCTTCTGATTATTGTATATCATAATTTCCTTGACAAACTTCGTTTTATTCTACTGTTCTAAGAAAACTAATGACTGGTGCCTGCCTTTGTTGAATTAAATTTTTCTCAATTCTCATGGGATTGCACCAAAAATTTTGGTTCCATTTTTATTTCCCTCTTTATCAATAATAACTGCGGCATTATCATCATATCGTAGTATAATTCCGTTGTCACGTTTGAGTTCTTTATGGGTCCGAACTATTACGGCTATGACGACTTCCGATTTTTCTAGAGTCATATTAGGGACAGCGACTTTTATAACAGCAACAATAATGTCACCAATATGAGCATATCGCTGATTGCTAGATCCGATTATTCGAATACACATTATTGTTCGAGCCCCGCTATTATTTGCTACATTTCAATGGGTTTGACATTGCACAAGGTTGTGATTTTTAATTGAATGTCAAGTGTTGTCTATTTACTTTACAGCAAGGGTCGATAAACAGTTCTCAATATACACTCTATATTACCAAACAGTCAATACTATGAGTCATGAACACTATGATTATTTCCTAGCATTGCATCAAGAAAACAAAGTTTAGAAACATAGCAGGCTTTTAGTAAACATTGATGACTATTACAGCAGCAAATTAAAAGGAAAGTAAAAAAATAATCCGAACTTATAAAACGTTCGGATTTTACAACAAAATAAACGAAAAATAAAACTTGGAGTCTTCGGATGTTTGAACGAACGCAAGAAGACGAACGGACGGAGAGAGGAACGACGCCGGAGCAAAAGAAGGGTAAGGAAAGCGGAGTCGCCGGAGCTTTCCTTAAGGTAGTATTGCCCGCCTCCCGCACTGACAAACGTGGGCAATCTCCTCCCAGGATAAAACTGCTTCGTGCAAGGCCTAGAGCGGTAGAACCGTGCACCGACGAACGAGAATGATGGAGGTTACCGCCGAAGAAAACTATCGGAGATGGGATGTTGCCGGAAATTTATAACGCTGAGATAGAGAGAGAGATTTTCGAGTGTGTTCTTCGTCTCCAATCTCTGCGGCCAACCCCCCCTTTTAAAGGAGAGGAAGTTGGCTCTTCGTAGGACCGTCGGACATTACGAAGAGTCGAGTGACTCTTCGTCCGTAATGCATGCATAATTTAATCCTTTGGGCGGCACTTCGTAATTTACGAAGTGTCCACGCGTGTTTAACTCGGTCTCGTAAAAAATTAGCCACGCCGCGGACGCGGGCGCGCCGCGCCGCGCGCGTGCCGAGCCGGACGGACGGCGGCGGCGGCGGGCGCGCGAGGAGTTCTCTTCTTGTTCCTTTCATAAGCTCAATTCAATGCCTAAGCTTAAATATGAGAATACGAAAGGTTTAGAAACCGGTGTGGGACAAAGGCATTTACTCTACCTTAGTATTCAACTTTGAGAATTAATTTCTCATTCACTCGAGCACCGTTTATGGCGTGTAATATGTCAAGACGTTCGTCTTACTTACAAGATTAATCGTTCATAATTATTTTGGAAAAATAATTTTGTGGATCCAACCGAACTTATGTCCGAAAATGTCCATAATTACTTTAAAATTTCCAACAATCCCCCACATTAATGAAAATTAATTCATGTAACTGGCAATAACTCTGAAGTTGAAACCTGCAAGAGTAGGTAGGTTTTATGCCTTTGAACCTACTCCTTGTAAAGTATACCTTCTCTACTGGTTGTTCAGTAGAACGTGATGTCTTTGAACTGTACTGCCGTCTATGTAAACGACGATATACAATACACAAGTTTCAACCAACCATCATTCCGTTCTCATGGGTGTGCCCATTATGGTCGTGGAACACGCATCTGGTTCTGCGAGAGTGTCAGACAGGATCAGCCCGAAATCCTTCTGTTGAAGCGACCGCACTTCACTCTTACATAGGTGATTCTTCTAAGAGTATCCCGATTGCTCCACTTGGACCTCGTTGTCCATAGTTCAAGAATCATTAAAGCGTCATGCTAGCCTCATCGTTTTCGGGAGTCACTATATCTCAGTAGGAACGGAGGGGTGTTAAGTCGGTGATCCGGCTTGCCCCCACAGTGACCGTGCTTCGTTCCACAAGTAGGTTGTCCCATTGAACCCAGGTTCCACCTAGGTTGGGTTTTCCTTCATGGAACGTTCCCAGCACAGGGTAGGGCTTTCAGACCCATTCCTACCACTAACTTCTCATGTTGCTCATTGGTTAACCCTTTGGTTAATGGATCCGCTAAATTATCCTTTGACTTGACATAGTCAATCGAGATAATACTCGTATTGAGAAGTTGCCTAATAGTTTTGTGTCTACGGCGAATGTGCCTAGACTTACCATTATATAATTTGCTCTGAGCTCTTCCTATTGCTGACTGACAGTCACAATAAATGCAAATAGGAGGAACTGGTTTTTCCCAGTTTGGAATATCCTCAAGTAAATTCTGAAGCCATTCGGCATGTTCTGCACACTTGTCTAGTGCTATGAACTCAGACTCCATGGTGGATCTGGCAATTAACGTTTGTTTTGAGGATTTCCAGGAGACAGCTGCACCGGCTAGCATAAAGATAAATCCACTTCTGGATTTTGAATCCTTATTATCTGCAATCCAATTGGCATCAGTGTTTCCTTCCAGTACGGGTGGATACCTGCCGTAGCATAGGCTATAATCTCGAGTATACCGAAGGTATCTCATTACTCAGACTATGGCCTTCCAGTGCTCAGCACTCGGATTGCTCGTATACCTACTTAGTTTGCTAATGGCGCAAGCTAAGTCTGGCCGTGTACAGCTCATTAGATACATCAAACTTCCGATGACTCTAGCGTATTCTGTCTGAGAATCGCTACTCCCTCGGTGTTTACCAAGGTGAACATTTACGTCTATCGGCGTCTTAGTTATCTTTGTATCATCCTTGTTGAATTTCTCAAGGATCTTGTCAATGTAGTGGGATTGGCTTAAGCTCAGACCATCCGGTCTTCTTAGTATTTTGATTCCAAGAATCACATCAGCCAGACCCAAATCTTTCATATCGAATCGTGCATTCAACATGTCCTTGGTGGACTTGACCATCCTATCGTTGCTTCCAACGATGAGTATGTCGTCTACGTACAGACATAAAATGACATACCCTTCAGATGTGTCTTTAAAGTATACGCACTTATCCGACTCATTTATCTTAAAACCGTT